GAACAAGAGTTGCAGTGGTACTCGACTGAAGGCTCGTCAGACTTCACCAATTCTTCGGCAACGACAGAATCTGGAAACAATCCGGATGACATAGCTGGTGTTGCCAGGTTAAATCTGGGAACAACTGGAGTCCGTGATTGCTCTGTTTCAAAACGAAAGAGTTTCTCAACTAAAGAATCTGTTTTTTGGGGTTCATCAGCATCAGCACTGGCATTGACATCAGAATCAGGACCAAATGCATCAGATCCATTGGATGGGAATGGGTGGTAATTAATCAAACCCCAATAATCCAAGAATTCCATCACCTCTTTCCTAGCTTCCAATTCTCCAACTGTGAGTTCGGCTAAATCTTTCAACCCTATCTGTGCATTGGGATTGAAATGAAACTTCTTTAAGATAGAATTCCGTATCTCCATATATATATCAGGAGTCCTACTCTCAGATTTCCCATTAAAGAAAGATGGAAGCATTCTCTCTTCTAGGGGATGAATTTTTCCCCATGAAAACCATCCTATAAACCATAAAGCAATTAACAAATAGAAGTTGCAGTGTAAGATATATATCCCTGTTTGTATAAAAGAACTATAAAATCGAGATTAACAGATAAACAACAAACGTCATAGCTATGGAAGATGTAGTGACACAAATAGAACCCATAAATTAGAAGAATATAAATAAGGGAATCTTGATTTATAGCTTTATTAGTACAATGCGAGTAGCATTTTATTGATCTAAACAATTGATTTAGTTTATTTTGATTGAGAATATTGTTTTATATGTCCATTCTGAAATTGGGAGCTCTTTGGAGATTTTCATTTTCTGAACTTTTGACAAGAAATTTCAGAAGGTCAAAAAATAAAAAATAAAAAATAAAAAATGGCGAGGAGAGAGGATTTATTACTTTGAACCAAAAGCCCTAAACAAAATTTCATCTTCATCTCCAAAAGGCTTGAAAATGAAGCTTCAAGAGGAGCATTACGCTAAGAAAGTACAAGAAGTTACATACTTCTCGAAATCACTAAACTTTCACCGCTCAGAATAAAAATAAATAAATGCCCATAGCATTAAATTTTGCAAGAAAAACTCACTAACCGGCATGAGTAGGCACCACATGGACATTTGCATCTCTCGATCTAATGGCCTCATACTCAGCCTCAATCTTCGCCTCCAAAGCCTCCCGATTTTCGTTCACTTCAATCGAATCCTCTTTCTTCACCGAGGTTTCTATGCGACCTCGCTCCGTTGGCTCCACCACCGACACACCGTTGTTGTTCGGCTGCACCCTAGCCCTAGTGAATGGTCCATTGTGGTGGATCGGAGGAAATGACACCGGAGATGGCTTCTCTCGGGCCTGGCGCTTGGAGGAAATGGTCTGAGTAGATGAACCACCGCCACTGTTAATGGAGGCCGATTTCCGCTTGTGGCCACCGCCTCTCCGCCTTGAGGTGGGCTGCTCCGAGGGCAGAGCCTCAGGAGGCTTCGACTGAGCTACGGTGGCGGAGGGCGGCGGAGTTCCTGTGGAGTCTCTTAGTTTTTCCTCCATCTCACTGGTCTTTTTGGGCGAATTCTTCAGAGACTTATGGGCGAGATGTATGTATGCGTTTGTATCTGTACCACTTTGTTGTTTTAATCTGTAATGCGACCCACGCTAATTCCGTGAGACCGCGGAACATTTGACGGTTTTTTATGGGAAGTTCCTTTCTCAATGAGTCATTTGCACTTGTGTAAATAGTCCTTAATGTTTTAAACTTGATATTTACACCTTCATTTTAAATATTTCTTGCGAATTTGGTCCTTTTCATCATATTCCTTTAAATAATCCTTCCGTAAAGTATAGGTAATGGTACGAAAGGTTCGTATTGTTTATCTTCTGTTGGATATTGGTTAAATAAATCGAGAATTGAAAATCGATTAAAGTGACTTCGTATCGATTTCGACCAAATACTCAAAAGCTCGACTCAATCCGTTTAAGCAAAATTGTTTGCCACTTCGCCGCTTCGGGGCGCACAAACGGGGATCGACCTGCCCGGTCAGGTCGCGAGGGTCGAGGGGGCAGCGCCCCTCGTGGGGGGTCGGGGGCAACGCCCCCGAAAGAGAATTTTGATTTCTCTGCATGTATTGAAGAGTATATTTGGCATTTCGAAAACCAATATCGGATGAATAAGAAATTACGAAAAAGGACGAAAATCAGTGAATAGACACATTTTCATAAAGGTGGTGCATTGTTTGGAAAAGGGTGCATGGTTTGGCCTCAACCATTTCGTCCACACCCTTTCATGGTCTATAAATAGGACCCTTTGGGTGTCCTATTCCTCACAGTTTGATATGCAAAACGTCTCTCATCCTCTCTTTTATCCAAAATCAAAATCATTTCATTTATTTTGATTTTCTTTCATTTCATCCTTGGAGTACATAAACCTAAATTTGGTTCGTTGTACTTGTGTTTTGGAGTGCTACAAACACAAGTGTAGCCGTTGTATCTTGGGAGTCGATTGCCGAAATCCGTAGGCACCGTTGCGGGGCAAATTCAACTTAAGGACAAAGAGTCCAACTCTTGCCTCGACTTTGTCACCATCATTATACTTATTTCGACGTCACTATTCACAAACTTCTTCCAACATCTTCATCAAGCAAATCTTTCTTATCATTTCAATGTTGATATTTAGACAATCAAATCAATCGTTCTTTACCCAAAAATGGCTAATTTACCTTCCTCATTAAATAAACAAATAGAAAATAAATAAATATATAAAAAATTGCATCTAGAGTCTCAACTTTTTAAAATATAAACGAGCCTCGACTAAAATAATATATAACGTCCCAATAAAGGAAAAAAAATTTATCTTTTCAATTAACCCACTTATTCCTACATCCATCCCACCCCTCCATCACCTCCATCAAAATAATTAAAAAGAGAATTAAAAGAATAAAAAATTAAGAAAAGAATTAAAAAAAAAAAAAAAACAGTGCTTCTTACTCATCCAACTCCGCACCCTGCCATCGACCGTCGCCACCACCATGCATTCCCCCCATCCCGCTGTAGCACCATCCAAAAATTTAGTTATTTTCCTATAATCAAATTTCGTATTCCAATATTTTTTTTAAAAGTTAAATTACATAGGTTTTTTAGGGATTTAACTAGTTTCAACCAGTGTTCTAAAAGGTGTAATGCGTGACGATGCGTTGATACCAAGTTAACGGCAATGCGAATTAAGGCGAGACAAATGCGTAAAAAAGTGTTTTCTTATTTTAATATTATTTTAAATTTTTAATTAATAAAAAATTTATTTAATAATTATAAATTTTAACTTTAAAAAGAAAAAAACTAGCATTGGCACCTTAGCCTTGCCTCAACAAATTTTAATTTTTTGTTTTTTTATTTCTAATTATTATTTTTTACTTATTTATATTTTTAATTATTTTGTTGATAGCGGTAATTGGGTTTATAAAATATTCAACTTTGTTATTTGTACACTTTTATTGACACTTGTATTGTTGTAAAAAAGTGAATAATTGAAGAAGCAACTTTTTTTTTTTAATACCAAGGTGTAAACCAAGCATGATTCTAAAATATTATTATTATTTTTTTTCTTGAGACTTGTTTATACTTTTTTAAAAAACTCTAAAATTTAGAATCGATTTTTTATTATTTGTCTTTTCCTTTTGTTTATTTAAAAATGGGAGTAAATTAATCATTTTACAATATTTTAAGGATCATGCTATGAATACAAAATGGGTTACAAAATCAACAAGTGCGCGGCCGTCGATTGGAGGGACGACTGGCCCCACAGCTGTCCCTCCAATTGGAGGCTGCCACTTGTTGATTTTGTGACCCATTTTGTATATGATTTAGTATAAGTAGAATAATCTATCTTATAATGGAGAACCTAAATGGTAAGGATATTTTTCTCAAAGAAAGATCAATTCAAAAAAATGTCAAATTGAAACGATACAAACAATTTGCACAATGAAGGCAAATGATAGGAACCTTTTTTCCAATTATCTATATTTCACGAAAGAATTTAATGGAACATGACTAAAATGATCAACTCCGTAAGGATAAGGTTTGAAATGACGTGTAAATACCAAGTTTGAAACAAAAACGACTTTTTACAATGAATGAAAAAAATATGATCATTTTTGCTAATTACCCTCAAATAAAGTGCCAAACAAAGCAAAATCGGGTTACATGTAGGACTCTTTCCATGAGACACTGAAAAGAATACTGTTAACAAGATGTATCTCACTTTTCCACGATGTTATTGTTAATTTACTTATTTATTTTTTTTAGTTTCATAAATGGACTTTATTTACCTTGCAACTTACTTATAAGTAAATTTGTTAAGCCTGGCTCAAATGTGTTCGTGTGTGTCTATATATATATATATATATATATATATATAAGAATGATTTCCTAAATATCGGTGTTTAGCTTATGTTAAATGTCGATGACATTGCACACCATTTAGTTAATGAATCAGTAAATATATATGACATACTATTAATTTATTCACCAATTAAATTGTGTGCCATGTCTCCGGTGTGGGGGTGGGAATTTGAATGTTTTTCTTCCAAAAGTATTATTTGCTTAAACCGAAAAAATGGTCCATGGAGGAGGAATGTGGTGGTCAGTGGGTCCCAGGCTCCCACCGAAATTTGGGTTTTCACATTTTTCTTTAAATAAAAATTTAATTACAAAATGTAGTAAGACAGGAAGCTCACACTAAATAACAAAATAGTGATGAAAAACTATTAATATACAAATTTCTCCGACCAGGAGCAGACCTAGACATTTCAAACTGTGTGATCAAAAATTAAAATTTTCACTGTAGCCCGGAGTCGAGTAGCAGCAGGGGGTGACCCATATAACAGGGGCTGAGTCGCTTAGGGATGGCTCGATGGAGGGCTGATGGCGAAGAGAAAAATAAAAAAAGGAAAAAACGAGTGAAAAAAAAAGTATAACGACTCACGACTCACGTTTGACAATTGGCAACTTGAAAAAAAATGAGATTTGATTTGGGAATATTGGAACTCGTTATATAAGTTGGATTGAATTTGAGCAAATGAGTAAATGGATTGTGGAAATGGGATTATGGATATGGATATGGTGATTGGATTTGGACTTTTCACAAGTGTGGGCTACTATTGGGAAATTGGGTTTGACAACTGGAGTGGGTAGCTATTAGATTTAAAAAAGAAAAAAAAATCCAAAAATTTGAGAAGTCATTTGACTCCACATGACCCCATGTGTTCTGCCCCTGTCCCCAACTCAAGTATTTATTCATTAATCCTCCAACCTTTATGCCAAGTTTTTGCCGTTTCTAATCCGTACTTCACAAAC